TCCAGCACTGGCCTGCTCTTATCAGCACAGATACCTCTGAAGTGGCTGGCGAGGGCCCAGCCACCACCCAAACCAACGGGATCCTCCACAGCGTAACACAGCCCCGCAGAGGGACGGGAAAGGGAAAACAGCATCAGCCGAAGCCACGGGCCACACAGGCTTCCTGTGACACCACGGATCCAAACACCCCAAACACAACCCCCCCGGCAGAGCCCTGTGGGACACGGGAGTTTCAGAAGGGCACTGATCGCAAGACTGACCTGTCCAGGCTCCACTGTCACCACGGGATTGTCAGAGCTGGAAGGGACCTTCTAGAGAACATCTCGTCCAACTCCCCTGCCAAAGCAGGGCTGCCCAGAGCACATCACTCAGGAGCATCCAGGTGGGGCTTGAAGATCTCCAGAGAAGGGGACTCCACACCCTCCCTGGGCAGCCTCTGTTTAGAAGGTATTTTCCAAACTAAAGTATAAAAAATTACGTTCCTCGGACTTTCAAATAATAAAGCGTCCTTGTTTTTAACACAGATCCACCGTGCATCACGAGACAAGGACAGGGAGCTCCCAAACCAGCAGAGCGACTGGCAGCACAATTCCAACAGCTACAATTTCCACTGGAAAACAGTGAAAAACAAGCTCCTGTGTTAAGCTGAACCCAGGGTGCCCTGAGAGCATCGTGGCTTATCAAGGAGATGCTCCAACCCCTCCATCCTCTTTGCTGCCCTACGCTGGACTCTCTCCAGCAGTTCCCTGTCTCTCTTGAACTGGGGAGCCCAGTACTGTATGCAGTATCCCAGTTGTGGCCTCCCCAGTGCAGAGCAGAGGGGGAGAATGACCTCGCTCCACCTCCTGCCCACACTCTTCCCTACGCAGTGCCCTTTGGACAACTGGTCCAAGAGAGCAAACCCAGGAGACTGAGGTGGAGAATCCTCAGGCAGAGACAGTGGCTGTAGAGCCAAATCTCATGTCGACACCTCCACCGATGCTCTGCTGGACACAGACCCACCTGGTTTGCCCACCTTTGCTGCACGACCAGCTCCCACCGCTCCCCTCCACATCTCCCCATGTCTCCTTCCCAGCACAGACCTTATCTCACCCGCCCAGGCCCTCGGCTGCCTTGGGGCTGGATTATGGCTGCGTTTCCATCGCTCTCATCTGGGAAAGCTCCCCACTTCAGAGAGAGCAAGATACAGCAGCTTGAGAATTCAGCAACAAAAGGCATCTTAAGTACATCCTTTTCACGCTCGCTCTCTCCTTCCCAGCTCACCTGCTCAGTCCCAGCAGGATACAAAGCACTGATTCCAGAAAGCCCTAAATTATAAATGGCCCAAGAAAAGGATCTCATGCCTCAGGATTTTATTTCCACTGCCCTCAGCAGACAAGGATCTCTATATCACTCTCCTCCCCGTACTTCACAGCATTATTTGCAACCCCGGGAGTAGTTCCTAAATGTAAGCGACTGCAAGCAGCCTGACACGTATAACTTGTTTTAGAAGGTATTTTCCAAACTAAAGTATAAAAAATTACGTTCCTCAGACTTTCAAATAATAAAGCGTCCTTGTTTTTAACACAGATCCACCGTGCATCACGAGACAAGGACAGGGAGCTCCCAAACCAGCAGAGCGACTGGCAGCACAATTCCAACAGCTACAATTTCCACTGGAAAACAGTGAAAAACAAGCTCCTGTGTTAAGCTGAACCCAGGGTGCCCTGAGAGCATCGTGGCTCAGGCTCTTCCTCCTGCAGGCTGCGTTTCATCCAACAGCAGGGCATTTCAGCGTGGCCACACGGATGCGTTAGAGCAGGCAGGGGGGGAACGAGCTGGAATGACCCCACGGCACGAGAGGGGCAGGAAACTCCGGTCTCCGAAGCCACACAGCCTGTTATTTCACTGACAAAGCCTGGCTAATTAGATCTGCGGAGAAGCTCCATACGTTTGGTGAGCTGCAGCACCGCACTCATCCAGCTCTGCCATCCAGAGCTCGTTCACATTTGGGTCCTGATTGGAACCTCCCAATTTGCCTTCCACAGCTTCACAGGAACTCTGGAGCAGGCACAGCAGCATTATTCTCCACGTAGGTCCTGTACAAACCACATCTGTTTCAAGACTACTAAAAAGTGCTCAGTTTTCAAAGCTGTCACATACTATGTTCTCTGTTAAAAAACAGGAAAGGATGTCTCAAAAGTTTAAAAAAGCATAGGAGAAGCTGAGGGGAGAGAGAGGAGAATATTCTTCTCAATTTTCTCCTTGTTAAGCTGAACCCAGGGTGCCCTGAGAGCATCGTGGCTCAGGCTCTTCCTCCTGCAGGCTGCGTTTCATCCAACAGCAGGGCATTTCAGCGTGGCCACACGGATGCGTTAGAGCAGGCAGGGGGGGAACGAGCTGGAATGACCCCACGGCACGAGAGGGGCAGGAAACTCCGGTCTCCGAAGCCACACAGCCTGTTATTTCACTGACAAAGCCTGGCTAATTAGATCTGCGGAGAAGCTCCATACGTTTGGTGAGCTGCAGCACCGCACTCATCCAGCTCTGCCATCCAGAGCTCGTTCACATTTGGGTCCTGATTGGAACCTCCCAATTTGCCTTCCACAGCTTCACAGGAACTCTGGAGCAGGCACAGCAGCATTATTCTCCACGTAGGTCCTGTACAAACCACATCTGTTTCAAGACTACTAAAAAGTGCTCAGTTTTCAAAGCTGTCACATACTATGTTCTCTGTTAAAAAACAGGAAAGGATGTCTCAAAACTTGAAAAAAAGCATAGGAGAAGCTGAGGGGAGAGAGAGGAGAATATTATTCTCAATCTTCTCCTAATAGGACTATTTTCCCTTTGGGCTAGCACGGTTTTAACTTCTGGTTGGAGGCACAAAAATATAGTCTCCCCGAGTCACCTAATTATTCCCCATCAATATTTAGAGACACTGATCAGAGGCACCACAGCATTGCCAGCGCCTTGCTGAGCTGCCCTGGATAAGTGACTTCATCCACTTGTCCCTGGTTTTTCACCCAGGCAAAGGCACCATTTGTCTGCTTGTGCTGCAGAGATATTCTGCAGCTTGTTTGTATACTGGGATACACTATTACACACCTGCTACAAAGGGCTTTTATAAATGGGTAGCATTTTTTTTTTTTTTTTAAATCCCTCGAATATAAAGCTGATTTGCAGTATTTTAACCACACAGCACATCTGTTTTCAGGCCTACAGCATCTTTTGTGCCAATTCACGCTGCTTCTTGCAGCTCAGGAAGGTAAGAGAGTCCAGTGGAAAAGCACAGGTAGCAGCAGATCCAAATTCAGCCCCATTTCTCTATTTATCAGCAGCTATCTCATCCAGCTCTGTGACACCGGATGAGGCAGGATGCAATTTTTGTTTTTAACCACCCAGCACAAGTGGAGCAGTAATTTAATACCTGCCTGGCCTTCAGCCAGCTTGGTGTGTCTGGCAAACAGTCAGACAACAAATAGTTGGAATTAAGCAACAAGTGCCTTTTGTTTGCAGAAATTACTACGGAGTTTGCACTTGATCTGTGAGAAAGAAACCAGAGGGGTATTTTGTTATGGTTGGTTACTTGTTTGTTTTGACTCAAGTCCTACTGCCCAAAATAAAGTAAAACAGGGCAAACCCCATGCTTATGGAAGGGGCTGAGAATTAAGATGCTCGTTTCCAGCCAAACTGGGATAATATCAATTTCCAGCAACTTCTTTGCTGAGGCATTTTCTCAGCCACCTTCTCCAAGCACAGCCCTTGTTGAAATTCAGTGGGGAGATTACTTATCCTTTGGAAGGATTAGAGGAATTGAAGAGTAACTGCCATTCCATAATCCCGTGTAAGTATCTAATCAACCATAATGTAATTACCAGAAAGTTTTAAAAGGTCAAAAAGGCCTTAGTGTGACATTACTTGAAAAAGAGAAGGTTCTGCTTGGGCAATGTCTCAAAAAAAGAAGTAGAAGAGAAACAGAGGGTAACACTTGAATATATTTTTCATACTCCATTTGTACCCTTTAAAACCTCAAGGGATTTGCAGAGGACGAGGAACACAGGAGTGAGCTCCCACTTGTTTTCATTCTCCTTTAGGAATCAGCTGCCACCACACACAACTGCCTGCCATAAAAGAGCAAGCACATCCCGCTCTCTAGGTAACACACAACGAGATGCTGCTCCTTCAAGTGCATCTTGACACGAAATATCACACACAATATTGAGCACTGTTCCTTTTCTAGCCATCTAAACAGGCTGCATTATGCAGACTCACTTTACCAGTTAAAGCACTAGAAATATCTGAACACTCTGCCTCAAGACAAGAGTGAAACACCAACGAGGCTTCCACTCACTGCCAACTGTACTAAATAGATTTTAATTTTAAAGTCACACACACTACTCACATGACTCTTTTTATTAAGAGCAGACTCCTAATAGGAAAATACCCTCCCACACAGTCCCACCTCTTTTTTCCAGGTGGAAATCAAGGAGAGGGAAAAGGGACAAGGCTACAAAAAAGATATAGCTGCTTTTTCTTTCTTTCTTTCCAGAAAAGGACAATACATCTCCTTATTATCTGGCATAGTAGGAATTCTTCCTATTTTTCCTTTTAACAGTAGTTTCTCCTCTGTGGCAGATATAAATTTGTCTTTGGAGAGTTGTTTCATTATTTTCAGAGTTGAAGATTTGGAGAGTTTCTGATTATTTAATAAAGTTTCAAAACTCAGACAAAACTGCAAGCAGGTGAAGAGGGAAAAAAAAAAACCCATGACCCAAATTTAGACAAATGAATTTCAACTAATCACTTTCAGGAAAATCCTAAAATTCTAGAACAAGAAAATAACTAGAGGAGTCAGAGGTTCAAGCACAGCTATACATGAAGAGGAAAAAAAGCCCCAGCGTGTGTTAGGCACAGTCAATAATAAATCAATCCACCAGAAGCAATAGTTCAAACTTTGCATTTCAGAAAGGCTGAACAAAAAAAAAAAATAAAAAAAAAGATGTGTTCTAGCACTCCATTACCTTCTTGAAGAGGCGCCCCGAGTCTTCGCTGACCTGCACGAAGCGTGGGATGATGTTGTTGAGATAGATGTCGCTGAGGGTGGTGTGGTCCCTGCTCTCCCGCTTCACCTGATTGAGCAGGAGATTCCAGCAATTGACCGGCGATAGCACATTCTGATCCTTCCTGTAAAGGACACAAAACAGAAACAAGAATTAGACAGAGCTACCTGAAGTGGACTAAAATGATTCTGTTCGTGATGTTCTGTGTATATAACCACTAGAAACCCAGCTACAGTCCCTATGGACCTGCAGAGGGAGAGGAGAGCAGAGAAAGGCTCTGAAACAGCTATTGCACATAAAGAAAAGATACCCTCGATTCCACAGACTACATCCACATGGCCATGGGCTTTTGGCCCCCAGCAAGCAGATCAGGCAAGTGCAAGTTACAGTACGCCAAACGTAGGCTCTAATTTTTTCTTTTGAATCCAAGAATTTGTGCATAAATTGCAGTTCCTGAGGGAGAGCGACGGCTCCAGCCTCCGACAGCAGGTCCCGCGGTGCCGTCTCGGGCATTTGCGACTCCACCACAACAAAAAGATCTCAAGCATCCAGTGAGCTAACTAGCATCTGCAGAGGAAACAAAATGTTATGTTTCATGTACAAAACCAATTATGTGCAAGCATCTATCTCTGTCCTGAGCAGAAGAGAGAGAGCAGCATCCACGCAACAAGCTTTATTTTCTCATCTTTGAACCTTCTCTGCCTTATTACGGCTGATCCTCTCTACCCACTGCAAATAAGCGAGACAAAGGGTGCAGGGGGAGGTGAGAGGAAGCCCCCTGTTTCTTCAGATCAACACATCACCTACTGAAAGGGGTCTAAGTCATTTCTGCAGGCACCATTCCATAGCAGAGAAAAGCCAGGACATCACCCATGATTTCGCATGGTCCTACAGCCGCCTTTGGAACCGGCGGACCCAGGTGTCCCCTCAATGCCCAACCATTTCCTTCTCTCTCTGGATCTGTTTGCCATTTGTTTACAGTACAATAATATTTATTTAGAAAAGAGAAAGTCAGGTCCTTGGCGGAAAGCCAAAGCTCTCGATTATTGTACACCACTGTATCGGTTTTCTTTCCTCTTAAAAGAAACGCGGCTTAATTTCCACTGAAAAAGGGACTGTTCTGCACTTAAAAGGCCAGCAATCGCTGCTGCAAGAAAGGCCTGACATTGTGAAAATGTGAAAATTAAGCCATGGCAGACTTTCATTACCCTTCCTGACACCAGCGGTTGGATTTGTAGTGCAATATGGACAATTTTAAATAAAGGGGAATAGTTTCAGAGCAGCTGATCTTGATGCTTTTGTTTCTTTTCCTTAAAAAAATAGAAAAGCTCAGGAAATGACTGCAGCTTGTGATGGGAACTGCTGCGAGGTTTGGAGAGTCTGTGCGTGTGTGTATAGTGGGAAGGGGTACGAAAAGGATTCTGGGCTTCTCCTGGTGTTTTGAGTGAGAAGAAGAAAAAAAAAAAGGAAATAAAGTGTGAGGAGGCAGAGATTTTATTTAGAGACAGTATTTTCCTTCGTACTCTCGTGTCCTGTATTGCAGATCCTGCTGACGTGCAAAACCAGATGGAATGATCAAAATGCAGAACTGCACAAGGTTGAAACTGCCAGATGTTTAGGCAGATAAATCACATCGCTGCCCCTCGATCTGCACTCAGTGTTTGCTGCACACCGTTTGGTTTGTTAATATGCCAGAGGGCTAATTAGTAACTGCAAGAACCGGCTAATTGTGAATGCAGAGGTACTGACCAGGCTGCAGCCAGCCCTCGGAGGGCACACGCGCGGAGAAGGAGCCGCACGCTCTGCTGAAACCAGAGAAAAACTGCCACTGCAAAGAAGGCAATAGACACATTAAGGTGTTTTTTATTATTTAGGTGAGACAAGAAACAAGACCCAGCTTTCTTCTGCTAAAGAGAGGGCAGGGGAAGGAAAGGCATCTCCGGAAAGAGCCCCCCGCAAGGAGCAGCGTGGGGTCGGAGGTGCACACCCCATCTCTGAAGGTGGAAGGCAAATTAACTAAGACGGTATTGTGGATGGTTGTAAAGAGAACTTTACAAAGGACGGTGTTAAAAGATGCTGAAAGTTGGTTGGTTTGCTCCTGTGATACAACAAGGCGACATCCAATGATATAAAAGGACTTCACACACTGACTTAGGATTTGCCCTCTAAAGCCAGAAGAGCTACAGCAAGTGAAAATTAATCAACTATCAAAAAAAAGTTTGGGAATGAAACTTAGGAACAAGAAGCTCAGACTCTCCACCAGCTGCTCTTGTTTTAGCTGTTTGAAATCCTGCCTCGAAACCCTGAAGAGCCCCGTTGCTGATTCATCTCTTCACTGCTTCACTCCTCTCCCAGGACCGGTGCGGCCACAGATCTCCCCGGGGCAGCCAGAAGCAGCCCAGCCACCTCATCTGCACAAACTGCCAGCCCCAAAGCACCCAGCTGTTTTGATCCTTAGTATCTCCCATTGCATTCTCCATCTCATCATCAATTTTTGCTGTCTGCTTCACTAAGGGCACCCAGGCTGATCACAGATGCTCCAGTGAGGTGTCAGTCCAACCCCACCTTGAGCGGGTGAGAAGAGCTCTGATGAAGGACCAAGGGTTAAGACTATAGAGAAGAACACCCAAAAGGGACCAGAGAGCAGCACGGAACGACTGTAGAGAGGTTGGTGCTGGTCTCTTCTCACAGGTAATTAGTGACAGAACGAGAGGGAATGGCTTCAAGCTCCAACAGGGGAGGTTTAGATTGAACATTAGGAAGGAATCTTTCACTGAAAGAGTGGTCGGGCATTGGAACAGGCTGCCCAGGGAGGGGGTGGAGTCCCCATCCCTGGCTGTGTTTAAGGGCCGTTTAGATGCAGTGCTGAGGGACATGGTGTAGGGGAGGACTTTGTAGAGTAGGGGAGATGGTTGGACTCGATGATCCCAAGGGTCTCTTCCAACCTCAATGATTCTATGATTCTATGACTGCCCTGCTTTCCAAAGGAAACTGAAGCACCAAATGGGACCCAGAAGAGCTGCAATAGTTAACAGGACAATTCCCAGCTGTCCAGGCTGCCCCACCACAGCACCCGAAGCTATTCTAAGGCAGCACATAGCAGGAATACCAGGAGCCCATGAAAAGGCTGGTGAGTAAAATTGCTGGTGTCTAATGGCGCCAGATGGGTTGTTGACACACTCCGTGTGGTTAGAGATGAAAGGCCATCCTGCGAGGAAAAAATAATCACAACCCCACATGCTTCCAACCCGCGCCTGGGATTGTCACCTTGGGCTCTGGGCAGCCCGCGCCGCACCCCGAGCTCAGCCCCACGCGGCCAGGGCTCTGCTCCCCACCACAGCCTTTCCTTTACATTCCTTTAATTTTCTTTGGTGGCTGTTGGTTTCGCTAACCCCTTCGGTACCTCGTTATAAAACCATCTCTCCAGCAGGTTCGGCGCTTTCACGGCAAGTTTTATACAGGGAAGGAAGCAAAAAACTCTCCTTTGTTATTTCCTAGTGACCATTTTCCTTGCTCTGGCAAAAAGCAGATAAAGGCAGGTCTTAAGACAGAAATGAAAGAGAAAAGGAAAGAGGCAGCAACTTGCTTCAAACCTTCCAAGTAGCCTTTAAAACTCCCCCCACACATTAACTGTTAAAGCACCTCTGAAAACGCAGCGTTTTTCTGGGGTGGAACACGGCAACAGTTTTCACAACACAGAGCAGAAGTTATACAACTGTTTACAACAGACCCTTTTCTACCGTAACCACAAGCAGATGGCAGAGAAGCAAATTGCGATTTTCCTTAACCATTTCCATTCTCAAAAGGCGCTGGCAAATACGCTCGGCTTCCAGTTTCACGTCACCACAGAGGAGGGATGGAAAAGGGGAAGAGAAATAGCAATAGGGACCACTGGGTCTCATCAGGAGTGAGCTCAACTTCCACAGATCCTGCAGCACGACTGGAGTCACTAATCACCCTTAAGAAGTAAAACTGATGAGATCAACCCAAAACTTGAGGACCTGGATACGAACTTTCCCAAAGCGCTGGAGATTTCACATTCCCAACAGCTCTTTGACTCCAACTTCCCCCACGAGGAGGAGGAGGAGGAAGATGCCAAGATCCAGGTTTATTTCAAGCGTGATTTATACTCATTTAAAGATGGTGTGACGATAGCGAATCTGGAGAGTTTATTTGGGTTAGCCTAAATTACACCAGATCACAGCAATCAAGGGTGTTTGGGAGCAGGAAGAGGAAGTTGTGCACAGATTTTTAAGGAACCACAAAGTATGAAGCTCTGTGGTTTCTCGGGTGTTATCTTGATCGGGTCCTGCGCAACTTCCACTTCAAAGGTTTCAGTCGGTCTCAAAAGATCAGAAGGGAAGATTGAGTCCCAAGTATCTGCAATGTCTTAATTAAATTACTCATTCATACAAGGAACTCTCAGACAACCCAAGATTTATCTGCTTTAAGGCAAGCAGAAGAGAGCGACAAGGGCTGGTGACATTTAGTTGGGCATTGCAGGGTAACTCCATCCAGAGCAACAGTAGAAAAATTATCTTAGAAAACAAAAACCTTCTTCACATTGGATTGAAAACAATACAAAAGGAGAAAAAAAAAAACCCAAAACAACCCCACACCCATAAACCAGGAATAGGAATTCTGGATTTCCATAAGGAGCACAAGATGAAGGAATGAGTCAGATGAGAATGAAAATATTACTAAAGAGAGAGAAACATTTACATTAATAAAGGCACATCACATCATCCATGTGAAGAGAAGACTCCTCTGAGCATCCTTCCTTTGAACTGAGGTTTCTAAAGCAAGTCTCCTGGTGGTACATACAAAAACTGAAGTTTCCTGTTCCACCTCCCTGCTCCCCCCAAATATTCGGGATCTGTTTCCTAGAGGTGTGCAACAGCCACTTCCAGACCTGGAACCCCCTGAAATAGTGCTCAGGATCCTGGGAACAGAGACTGTGATTTATTTCCCCCTCTGCAGAGTCCCCTGCATGTACCACCATCCAAAATCAACTGGGACCCGTGGGCTAAGGTCTCTGAGCCCCCCAGGGTGGGCACCCTGCAGTCCTGCCCTCATGCCCAGCTCACCTGAACCCTTGCTGAAATCAAGACACGAGGTGAAAGA